CCACCCACACGGGTGATGTCTGGGGAGGGGCAGCAGGTGGGCACCCACGGGCGCTCCACACGACGCCTGGGGTTCTGCTGGGTCTGGGGCCCAGGGAGGCCCTCAGAGACGGCTCAGCCCTTGGAAAAGTTTGGGACTTAGGGAGGGTGTGTGAGGGGCGGCTCCCCCATGAGCTGGAATGTCCCCTGGGTCCCCTGTCCCGGGCTGCTAATTGGCGGGGAAGGTCTGGAAGTGATTGCAGCCGCCCTCCCTCGCGTGTTTACAGGCGTCTCCCTCAGATCCACTCGGAACCCGATCCCTCTGAGGAAGCACATCAAAGCCGGGCTGGCGTTTGATGTCAGAGGCTCCGCAGGCAGGAGGCAGCTCAGCCGCTGTGATCTGTGGTCCCGCTGGCGCGGGGTCCCTGGGGAAGGCTTGCTCTGGCCCTTGGGCCTGTGCCTTCCCGAGGCTGGGGTCACCGGGTTGGGGTGGGCCGGGGCCCAGGCCCTTGGGGTGTGCCCTGACCCAGTGTTGCTCTGGTCCAGGCTCTCAGCTCGGGTCTCCCACTTCCTGCAGGGACCTTGGGGGGCAAGGAGGCTGGTGGTGCCAGGGCAGGGGCAGGGCTGCATCCCCCCAGAGGCCCCATAGCCGGCTGTGGGGTGTGGGTCTCGGCCTGGGCACCACACACGAGCAAAAGCTAAAAGCAAATGGGAAATGGGCAGAACCCAGGCCAGAGCCCCGCAGAGGGCCTGTCCCGTCTCGTCCCGCGTGTGCAGGCAGCTAGAGGCCTGCTGCTCTGGCCCCAGGTCAGCCCCATGTTCTCCGTCCCACCCACATCCACGGGCGTGTGAGCCCCGAGGCCTGCGACAGTGGCCCCGCACAGCCTGTGGTCACCCCTGGCGGCTGTTCTGTGGCCCAGCCTCAGGGCTTGCCCTGGAGGAGAGGGGCTAGTGGGCAGTTATGTGTCAGGAAATGCAGGAGTGGACGGCCCTCCGTCCCTTCGCGGTCACAAGCTCCCCAGCCGGACGTGGCCAGCTCCAGCCTGTGCATAACCTGGTGGCCCTGCGGGCCTGGGTAGTGCAAGATGGTGTCGGGTCCGTGCACGTGTGTGCATGTGACTGTGTCTGTGTGCACGTGAGCGTGCGCATGAGTGTGCGCCTGCACGCCCGCCGTCCTCTGAGCCCACCCAGCTCTGCTTCTGGGGCTGCTCTGTCCCATCTCGGGTTCTGGCTCATGAGGGAGAGGATGTTGGTGGCCAGTCTGGTGTGGGCGGGTGCCTGCTGCCGTCTTCCTGGAGAACCTGGGGGAGCCTCTGTGTGGCTCTGGGGTGCCCTCCCGAGAGCACCAGTGTCCCGCGCCAGGGCGGGCCTCTGATGTCCTTCCCTCTCCTGCAGGGCGTGTCTGGAGCAGCCGTGGGAGGCCAGCCCGGTCTGCGTGTACATGAGGGATGAGGTAGGACTGCGGCTCCACCCGCCTGGCCTGGCCGGCTCGCCGCTCCCGTCGCCATGCGGCCCAGCCCGCTTTCCAGTCTGGAAACCCCCCCTCCCCCTCCCCCCGCCTTGCAAGCAGCGGGAGGCGCTCTGAAAGCCCCGTGTGTTCCCCGGGAACTAACCGCGGCCCGGCTGCGCCCAGAACCTCCCCACGCCCTGTTTGTTTTCTCAGCTTCTCTCAAAGCCCAAGAGTCACAAAAGTGGTTTCATTTTAATAAATATTTGCTTTGCTCCGTTTTGATCTTTTTCAAAACGAGCGCAGGGCGGTGCGGGCCCAGCTGGCAGACGCCCTGCCCGTCCCCGCCTGCCATGACAGGACCCTCCTGGCGCTCGGTCCCCTGGCTCACAGGGGCTTTTTGTTGGAGTCCTGGCTGAGTGCCCTTTCCTGGCCAGGGGTGGCCACTGTCCCCGAGGGCCCAAGAGGCCTTGGTGGGTGAAGCACGCCCGTGAGGAAGGGGTTCCCAGGCTGTGAGCGGGAGGGACCTGGGGGTGGACACCTGGGCCCAACTGAGGGCCGTCGTGGTCGGTGCAGCCCTCAGGGCTGGTCATGTGGCCAGTGCTGCGCACCCAGGCCTGAGCCCCGCCTGCCCGGGCCTGGGGGTGTGGGGCTGGGG